GAGACCCAGAATAGCCAAAGCAATCCTTAGCAAGAAGAGTGAAGCTGGTGGCATCACTATACCAGACCTTAAACCATACTAAAGGGCAACAGTAACAAAAGCAGCATACTATTGGCACCAAAATAGATTTGTAGACCACTGGTATTGAATAGAGGACACAGATACAAACCCACATAAATACAGTTATCTCATACTAGACAAAGGCGCCAAAAACATATATTGGAGAAAAGATAGCCTATTCAACAAATGGTGCTGGGAGAACTAGAATCCATATGCAGCAAAATGAAATTAAGCCCCTATCTCTCACCATGAATAAAACTCAACTCAAAGTGGATCAAGGACCTAGGAATTAGACCAGAGACCTTGCATCTAATAGAAGAAAAAGTGGGCCCAAATCTTCATCATGTTGGATTAGGCTCAGACTTCCTTAACAAGACTCCTATAGTGCAAGAAATAAAATCAAGAATCAATAAATGGAATGGATTCAAACTGAAAAGCTTCTTCTTAGCAAAAGAAACAATCAGTGAGGTGAAGAGAGAGACTACAGAAGGTGAGCAAATTTTTAGCACATGCACATCAGATAGAGCAGTAATCTCTAGGATATATAAAGAACTCAAAAAACACTAAAAAAAAATCACCCAATCGATAAATGGGCTAAGGAACTGAACAGACACTTCTAAGAAGATGATATACAATCGATCAACAAATATATGAAAAAATGTTCAACATATCTAATGCAAATCAAAACTACTCTAAGATTTCATTTCACTCCAGTCTGAATGGCAGCTATTAAGAATACAAACAACCATAAGTGTTGGCGAGAATGTGGGGGAAAAGGCACAATCATACATTGCTGATACAACTGCAAATTGGTACAACCAATCTGGAAAGCAGTATGAAAATCCCTTAGAAAACTTTGAATGGAACCACCATTTGACCCAGATATCCTACTCCTCGATTGATACCCAAAGGTCTTAAAAACAGCATACTACAATGACGCAGTCACATCAATATTTATAGCAGCACAATTCACAATAGCTAAATTGTGGAACCAACCTAGATGCCCTTCAATAGATGAACAGATAAAGAAAATGTGGTATATATGCATAATGAAATATTACTCAGCATTAAAAGAGAATAAAATCATGGCATTCACAGGTAAAATGGATGAAGTTGGAGGATATCATGCTAAATGAAGTAAGCCAATCCAAAAAAACCAAAGGCCAAATGTTTTCTCTGATATGTAGATGCTGATCCACAATGGGGTTGGAGAGGGAGCATGGGAGGAATGGAGGCACTTTAGATAGGGCAAAGGGGAGAGAGGGGAGGGCAGGGGGAAGGGAGGGGGCATAGGGTGGGGAGGTAGGAAAGATGGTGGAATGAGATGGACATCATTACCCTAAATACATGTATGAAGACATGAATGGTGTGACTCTGCTTTGTGTACAACCAGAGACATGAAAATTGTGCTCTATATGTGGACTATGAATTGAAATGCATTCTGCTGTTGTGTATAACAAATTAGAATAAATAAATAATTTTTTTAAAAAGAGAAAATGGAGCAATATCTTCAGAGTTCTGAGAGGAAAGGACTTATTATGTACACCTCTAATGCACTAATAAAAATATCAGGGTTTATTTTGACATGATGAAAATAATTGAAAATAATTTGCTCCCATTCAGTTCCTAGTACTTCCCCTTTCTTTACCCCTCCCTCCCCCCCTTTTTCCCTTTCCTCTACTCTTCTGGTCTTCTATTTATTTAGAGTCTTCTTTTAAATTAGTGCACTACAGATACACATAAAGCTAAAAACTCACTTGGTACTAGTCACATACGTACACGGGACAGTTTGGCTGGTTTCTTTCCACTGTTCCTCCCACTTCTGGTCCCTCCTCCCTCCCCTTTAATCCTCTTCTTCAACTCCACTGACATCTCCTCTCTTTTCATGGGATTTCCCCTGCCTTCCCCCACTCCCCTTTCCCCTGTTTTTGGTCTTCCACATAGGAGAGAAAACATTCAACCCTTGACTTTCTGGGTTTGACTTATTTCACTTAACCCACTCAAACTGCCACTGAATTGTGAAATGAAATGAAATGCTTCAGCAAGTTCCCAAAAGTTTTTTGAGGATGATTACCAAAAAGAAATTGAAGAAACAGACATGAGTACAGGGAACACTGATGAGCAAACAAACAAGTAAACTTAGAGATAAATTTACATAATTGTTTATAATAAGATGATTAGTAAGAATTCAGAAGGAAAAATCCCTTGATCTCCAAAGTGGACATAGTGGGTGCAGGAGATGCAGAGGAAGAGTGTGCCAAGGTCCTAGTGGGAGAGGCAGGAGGGCAGGTGGGGACAATGGGGTTGGGGCAGGAACAGGAAGTTTAGATATTGAGAAGATTCCTATAGGTTTAAAGATCCTAATTTAAACTAGAGGGGTTAATACACAGTGAACAACTGGAAGGAGAAAATGAAAACAGCAATGATGAAGAGCACGGTCAAACCAATGGGAGGCAAGAAAAGAAAAATATATATGTACAATGAATGGAAAAAAATAGAGAAGAAAGAGCTTCAAACAATGTTAAAGGAATTTAAAAAAGTAAATTAAAATAGCCTATTAAAGATCAGGAACACTATGTTTGACTAAAGAGGAAAAGGTAAGCTATATTTTGTCAATCAGACTCACAACCTGAACACAAAATGTCACAAAGCAATTGAATGATAGAGAAATATAAATCTGACCAAGATCAGTAGGAAAAAAAATTGGAGCACAAAGAGTTTCAGGAAAATGGAATATAGGATGAAAAGTAATAAAAAGGACAAAGAGGATATTTCCTATGGATAGAATGCTCTATTCCTACTGATATGACTCTCTAGGACCAACCTGAGCTACCTGATCACAATTCTTGCCTGACATTTTTGAAATCTTGTCATTAGAGTTGGGTGTCCTTATCAAGTTAATGAACAAAACAAAGCCACTGCTTTCATGGAGATTTTGTTCTGGAAGAAGCAGGTGGGTGCACACACACACACACAAACTAATAATCAAACTATATGGAATGTCAGTGGTGATAAGTGCTAAGTGTTGAAAGGAAGTGAAGCAGAGGTGTCATTTTAAATGGGGTAGCCAAGGAAGACTTCACCAGGAAAATGGTCAAAGACTTTACAGTTGCTGAGGAAGGAACCATACAGACTTCTAAGGGAAGAGAATTTCAGGCAGGGGGGACAGCAAGAGCAAATGGTCACTGAATATAAAGTTAAATAAATTAACTATGGAGGGGCTAGTGAGGTAAGTGGGATATCAGGAGTGTAGCATCAGAAGCCAAGTGAAGACGGTGAAATAATGAACTGTGTCAAAACAGCAGGTGTACCAGAGTGCGGGGGGACTGAGAAAGAGCCATGATGAAACTTAGCAAACAGAAGCCATGGCTGACTGTGACAGAAACAATCTCAGGGGAGCACTGGGAACCCAAATCTAAGAACTGGGCATAAGAGAGAAAATGGAATAGCGAATACAGTGAAGCATTTCAAATGGATTTGCCATAAAGAAAAGCTGAGGAGAGGGCAGGGCCTGGAGCAGGTGGTGGGATCAAGGTGGGAGAGAGTCAAGAGTGGGAGGAAGAAGACCTGGGCATCCATGAAACAAATGAGGTCCCCTCCAGAATAATATTAGGAAGTTTCAAAATAAACATAAGAGCAGCCACCTGAGAAATCGCCTAACACAAATGATTACTGAAAGGAAGGGAATTTAGAAATGCTTGAGATCCAATCAAGGAAACCAGATCTAAAGAGGATTGTGTTATAACTGGATTGTGTTATAACTGAAAGAAAGCCTACTCAATGTACTTTACCCATGAAGGAAGACAGTACTAAAAGACAAGGACACAGTTTGAGCAAGATTCATAATAGGAGAGACAAAGTAAAGCAATGTATTTCCAGCAATGTTTTCAAAAAGAGGATACTCATGAGTGAAATTGAATTTGGGTGCATTTATAGATATATTTTTTCATCTTAATTGTAAAGATGGATGTGTTGGGGGGTTATTAGGTCATTAGGATTATCCATGTGATTTCAGGATCAGAAAGCAACCTTATTAGTGGAGTTTTCCATGTAGATTCCCTACAAGAGGACAGTGTACTTATCAGGGGGCTTGAGTGTCTAATCCCAAGGGGATTTAGCCAAGATATATTAACAAATTGTCATTCTGATTTATTCTGTATTTTCATGAGAGTTTGGCTCTAGTAGTCAGAAGCTTGGAACTGTCTGGATATATAAAAGCAAATGGACCAAACTATGAAATGAACCTGAGGTAGAGCACAGCCAATCATTAGTAGGCCTCTCAAATGCCACCCATAAACCAGGTGAGGAGGTACATGCCTGTAATCCCAGCAGTTTGGGAGGCTGAGGCAGCAGGATTGGGAATTCAAAGCCAGCCTCAGTAACTTAGCGAGACCCTGAGCAACTTAGCAAGGCCTGGGCAACTCAGCAAGACCCTGTCTCTAAATAAAAAATAAAAAGGGCTGGGGATGTGGCTCAGTGGTTAAGTACTCAGGCTTCAATCCCTGGTACAAAAAACAAACAAACATAAAAAGATAAAAAATGCCACACATACCTTATTCCTTGTCCATCTAACCATATGCTTGAAATATTGAACTAAGGAAGGGGCACTGGAGTAACTAGAAAATGATCTAGGTCTCTGCCACCACTAGTCTGGCAACCCCATCCGGTGAGTGCCATCCATTCCTGTAGTCCTCAGTTCACATTGTCTTTGCAAATGGGAGTAACAATAGCTGTTCTATCACAATGGTTTGTTTTGAGGCTCAGAATTTAAGTCTAAAACAAACGGCTATATGAACAGAAGATATTAATGCTCTCATCATTACATGCCCTAAAGCCTGAGTGTATAATTGGTATACTGAAGCACATTACCACAATTATCCGAGAATTGAAGACAAGATGAAAAACCACGAACCCACTGAAGAAAATCTGGGAAATCCTACCTCTCAGCAACTGGTTTGGCAATGTTTTCAAAAATGATCTCTTGCTTTGCATCTTGATCAAAAATCCTCTGAAATCTGCAATGTGAAAGTGGTAATTATTTAAATGCTGAGCCTTCAAACACTATTGGATTAATAAATCTTGTTTTTCTAAAGCTTTGTAAATGACCCCACATTTACATCATCGGGCTTACCTAACTTAACACAATGTTTGTCCTGTAGTTCCACCACACTGTGCTCTTGTACTCCTGTATACAAATGGTGGGTAAACAGTATTGCTTTGACAAGATCTGCACAATAAATCCCTCTGAAAAGCTGCAGCAGCTTTGAACCAAATAATAAACTGTGTGTTTTTTAGCTCTCAAGAGGGACAGTGTCTACAATTGGCATCAAGTTCAAATTCAGATAACTGCATGAAATGGAAACCCAAGAACAGGATGTAAACCGCCAAAGAACTTCTGATGTCTGACCTATGAGAAAATGGGGGCAACTGTGAATTGTATCATTATTGAATTTAATTTAAAAATTAAATTGAACTGAAGTTTATGTCTCACTAATTAGGTACAAGTATCAACAATGTCAATTCTCAAGATGGCATTGTTTGATTTTATTGACCAAGATTCAAAAGTCAAAAAGTAAACTAAGATATATCTGTTCTACAAAGAAAAGTCTTTTTATTAGATTGGCAGTGACCGGGGAATGGGAGGTGGTGTGGTGTCAGTTTCACTCTTCTCCGGTGCCACTCTGATGGATTGCAAGCACAGTGGAATAATTTGGGTAGGAGACACATCTATTCTTTTGCAGTGAGGTGAGGTACTACCAGCATGTATGGCCCCCATGAAAACATTGCAATAATGAGAAAAGGAAGGTGGGCTGGGAGGGGGGACAGAGAGACCAACCAAAATGTTAGCAAAGGGTGAATCTCCCACAAAGAGTATATGAATGTTGACTGGGTTGTTCTTCCACCTTACATATTTAAATTTTTTCAAAATAAAAATTGTAGAAAGGAGAACTTTAAAGCAAAAACTTTAAAACAAACACTTTGAGGACATCCTGAGCAGCTCTCAGAGTAGCACAGGAACTTCTGGTCTACATGCCTGTCTACTCAAGTAAATTGACATCTGTTCAATCCAAGTGGAGATTGTAGGTGACATGTAAACCTGTTTTCACTACCAGGGACTTCAGAAGGGTGTCTAGAGATGGACTGGAAATATAAAACGTTAAGAAATTTGTTTTTAACCAAAATTAACTTCAAAGGATCCCTATAGCTGAACCACATTTGTTTTTGAAGATTAAATAACGCAAGGAGATATCCTAAGGCATTTCTCCAGCAATGTGATTTTAGACAGCAGTCTTTACTGTTCAATGTGTTCAGACCACTTCTCAAAACCTGGAAGGTGTAAAACAGCTTCAGTTATGAGCACCAGCATTATAGAGAGGTCGACATAACACAGGTCTCTCTATGCTCTTCAGAACATGGTCCACTAGGACATCTTAGTACAGACCCCTAGTGGTGCCTGTGAAGAGACGGGTGGTACAGAAAGCTAGCTGGATTCTTTTATCAGGCTGATGATGACTGAGTGAATCAATCAGCCATTCCTGACCACATGTCTTTACATAATAGGAACTATGTTGACTATTACGTAATCAAGAAATGGCAGGAGTTTTAAAGAAGACATTGAAACAAACACAGAATGCACTATAAAAGATATATTTTGTAAAATAATTAATTATGGTATATTCATTTACTAATCTATTTGTTTCACAAATATATACTGAGTATCTATGTACCAAGCATTTTTAATGAGCTTTAGGTGAGAAGTTACCTATAAAACACAGTGAATTCCTTGGGAAAACATGACATTCTCCACTATTTACAATAGCAGATGATAGAATCACAAGCAATTCAGAGCCCTCTGTTTATTGGCCCGCCCCATTTTAGAATGAGGATTTTGGCATCAAACTTTAATAAGTCATTAATTGTACATTAAGGATAAAATAGTATCATCCCAAATATTTTACTTTTTCTGACATGGTGGCATAGCAATCTAAAAAGGCATTTTGATCAGCTATTTTCTGAAAACAACAAGAGCAAAACAGAATCACAGAATTAGGAGAGATTCTATCAGTTCTGTGTAATTGCTTATGAGGAAGAAGTTTAGATCCACAGAGATGAAGTAGTTACTCATGGTCCTAAAGCCCATCAGTAACATGTCTTGAGACACAACTGGAGATATCTGATTTCTAGGAGGTCCTTTCATTTATTAAGATGTTAGATAGGATTTTTCTGAACTCCATTTCAAACTCAGCAAATACTGATCCTTTTGTACCCCAAACCATTCTTCCTGCAACCTTCCTCACCCTCCACCCCAACTCCATCTTTCTAAATGCTGAGTCCAAAATCCTTCAGGCACCCTTCACTCTTTCTCTTTATATTGCACTCCATATTCAATCTACTAGCAAATTTTACCAGCTGTGACCTCCAAAAATACATCCATAATCCAATTACCGTCATCACTTGGTATCCTTGGGGATCTATTCACATCCCTTATATAATCTATGCACATACTCCCCTATACTTTAAATCATCTCTAGATTACTTAGAATGCATAATATAATGTAAATGCTGTGTAAATAGTCGTTAACTATATTGTTTAGGGGAAAAAAAAAACAAGAAAAAAGTCTATGTGTGCTCAATACGCCCTTTTTGTTTGTTTTCCCAATATTTTCAATCCACAGGTGTTTGGATTTGTGTATCAGAACTGAAGAACTGCAGATATAGAAGGCACACTGTATTTCTTAACATTTCCACCCTGGCCCAAGCTACCATAAATTCTAGTCTGGTTTTCCTTGCATTCTGTATCAAGAGTGATCCTGCTAAGACTTAGGTGAGATCATTTCATTCTTTTGCTCAAAACCTTCCCTTGCCTTCCACGGCACTTAAGGGAAAAACTCAAGTGCTCACCATGACTCACAGGGCTCTATATGATCTGCTCGCTCTGTGCTCCTCAACTTCTCTTCTCCCCCTTTGCCCCCTTGTTCACTGCACTCCAGCCCCACAGATCCCTTTACCTGTGTCCATCCCCCTGCGAGACGTTGCTCGTGCTATTCCCTTGGCCTGGCATTCTCATCCATCAGCTATTTGCATGGCTGGTTTCCTCTCCTCTCTTTCCTGCCTTACTTTTCTTCATTGCACCTAACAATTTCTGACATGCATTTATTAATTTGCTTGTCTGTCTCCTCCCACTAAAATATAAGCTCCAGAAGAACAGCAGCTTTGGCGCATGTTCCCTACTGTATTCCTAGCAATGAACACAACATATGGTGGGTAGTCAATAAATATTTATTGATTGAATGAGTTTTCTTAGGAGAAAACAGCCTTCAAAATGCTTAAATATTTATCACTGAATATATGTATAAGTTGAATATTTTATTTTATCTTAAATATTAAAACCAATATTTTAAATTCAGAGATCTAAAATATAAGCAAATGGTGCTCTTTCCATAAATATATGTTTAAATGCCCTGTTTCTATAAAATGCAAAGAATACTTTAGAAAGGATCCATAGATAAAGATATGATAAGTTGTTTTTTTTAATACCTTTATTTTTTATTTATTTGTTTTTAATGTGGTGCTGAAGATCAGACCCAGTGCCTCAGGCATGCTAGGCAACTGCTCTACCATTGAGCCATAACCTCAGCCCTGATCAGTTGTTCTTAAAATAATGGGATCATGCTGAATCAAATGTTTCAACAAAGTGTTGCTTTATAGAGATTGGCTTAGACCAGCTACCAACTGCCATGAAGTCATAGCTATTTAGGTGTGTAGCAGGCTTACATCTTCTAGAAGAATGCCCCTTCTGCAAAATTCAATCATGTATTATAGGATGCTTCTTAAAGGAGTTAAAGAAAGGCAACGGGGATCTCATAAGACAAGGCAAGGACCACCTCACTACACAACCACGTGTTAGCAATCCTGCTTGTACTTGCTGTAAAAGGAGACAAATGAAGAAGATAGGGTAAGTGTGGAAAGAGATATATATGAAAGAGACAAAATGTAGAGATACAAAGATCAAGGAGAATTCTCTATGAGCCAAAAAATAAGAGCAAATAAGAACCTGAAAAAGAGAGGAGCTGGGGGGTGTAGCTTAGTAGCGAGTGTGTGCTTAGCATATATGTGGCCCTAGGCTCAATCCCCAGCACTGAAAAAGACAGAAAAGGCAAGGGGAAGCATGGGTGGGGGCTGGAGAAAGAGAGAGAGACAGACAGACAGACGGACAGACACAGAGAGTCAAACAAAACTTTAAAGTGTCTGCGACAGTTTTGTCCAAAGGCCAGGGCAGGATAGTCTCAAAATAGTCTAGAGATAGATGCAAGTGAATAATTAGGATTCCTTCAGTTAAGTCTAGAAATCTACCACCAAAATTTGTGTTAGAGATCACATATGCATTTAACTTGAGCTCAAACTTCTCCAGAAATCAAAGGTGGTGATCAAAAGAAATGCCTTAACCTGAAATTTGAGAATAAAGACAGTGTGAAATATATATCCATAATCCTCCAAAATTCAAAGACTGGCTACTATAAAAGTATTCAGACCAAAGGCACTGTGATTATCCACGGGTGGCCCATTGGTACTTTCCACCCAGACCCTATGATTCAGCACTGCCCAAAAGGAATATAATGTAATCCATAAATGTGAGCATATATGTAACTTAAAATGTTCTAGGAGCTTGGCTTTTGAAAAAAGTAAAACAAAATAGGTGAAAATAACTACAGTAGTATATTTTAACCCAATACATCTAAAATTTTATCATTACAATATATAATATGAAAAACTTAACATAGTTCATATTCTCTTTCTCTTTCACATATTGAGCTTTCAAAAAGCCTTCATGTATTTTATACTTTACAAAATATCTTTTTTTTTTTTTTTATGGTGCTGGGGATCAAACCTAGGGCCTTGTGCATGTAAGGCAAGCACTCTACCAACTGAGCCATATCAGCAGCCCTGACATCTAATTGTTGACTAACACATTTCAAGAGCTCTAGAGCCACAAGTGGCTTATGGCTATTAACTGGACAGCATAGATATCAAGTGTATGTATGTGCATATGCAATCTGTGTATCATATTTTAAAGAAGGCTTACCCAAACAGTACACAAGATTATACCTAAAGGTCTTATCTTGAAAAAAGTTTAGTTGTTCATTGGAATTTCCTGTAAGTGCTAAAACACAGCAGGCTGAATATAGAAAAGATAACATCAGATAAACAGAGCTTAAAGAAAGGCTGAAATCCTGGAATATAATCTCAGATAAAGAAATATGTCCTCTTTCAACCTTAAGCACAGCAGTGAACTTGTGTTCTTCCTCCAAATGAGACAGCCATACTACTTTCTCCACAAGAAATGGGGCTAATGAGTTCACAGAGAATATTAACGCAGGACAAAAGCTAGTCCAATAATGAAATAGGAATGAAGCAAAAGAAAGATAAACTTACATAAATTTGTAGCTTTCTCGCTTATTATTCACAAATCCATCTGCCAGATCACGAGGTATGATAATTTCCAAGCAAGGTGTTAAATTTTCATCATCATCTATGGAATAAATCTGTAAATATAAGAATAAATATAAAATGGTGAAATCTCAGCTTGAACTATGACTGTGTTATTATGACTTGCATAATAATGGTATAAAATTGTACTTTTAGATAAAATGTCAAGGACTGGGAAGTAATTCAGTGGCAAACTGTCTGCCTTACATTCAAAAAGCCCTGGGTTCGACCCCTAGTTCCAAGGGGGAAAAAAAAAGATAAAATGTCAAAACAGTATAATTTTCCTCATTGAAATGTGTGCACTCAGACAAATATATGGAACATAACAAGAGGTAAAAATCTGAATCAATGCTATATCAAAACTCAGATCAGCTGGGTGCAGTGGCTGAGGCAGGAGGATTGTAAGTTAAAAGCCAGCCTCATCAACAGCAAGGAACTCAGCAACTCAGTGAGACCCTGTCTCTAAATAAAGTATAAAAATAGGGCTAGGGATGTGGCAGAGTGGATGAGTGCCCCTGTGTCAATCCCCAGTACCAAAAAACAAACAAACAAACAGAAAACAAAACAAAACAAAAACTCAGATCATCTCTGAACGATCTAAACACTCAAATTTGAGAATTTGAATGTTTCTGTTGTCACTCAAAAATAGCCCTGAAAGTAGCATATTATCTAAATATTGCTTTGGTATTTATCAAAAATAACATTTTACTATAACAATAAGCATTTCTGAGTATTTACAAACTACTAGACACAGATACAAGAATGAGAGTAATCTGAGCCTTCTCACAGAGCTGTGAGAAGGCTCAAATTTAAGTTATGTTCAAAGAAGCCCAAGTTTCCATAAAATATATTCAGACACTTGATAAGACATGGGGCTTCAGAAGATACATGTACTTCATGTCTTTGATGTCATTTTCAACCCAGCCCAGCCACTAATTGGCAAGTGACCTGGGAGAAATCACTTAGCCTCTCTAAGCTGATATGGAAATGGAGGTCTTAATCAAAGCCCTACACTGTAACCTTCTCTGGTTCTCTTCTGGGTTACCTACTTCTTTATTTATTGGCCAGGAAAACCAAGACTCAAGCCTATAAAGAAATCATGTGGAAGAAGGAAAAGCATAATATTTAGTGTCCAAACACTGAGCTCAATTTACCAGCTGTGTGATCTGCCACCACTCTCAGAATCAAGGTTCCTTGTACATAAAGCAAATGAGAAAAACAGAATTGCCTCTCTTACAAGATTGCTGGGGGCACCAAATGATGTAATGGAAATGGAAGTATTTTGTAATGCATCATAAAAAAATCATTCATTAGATTTAGAGGATTTTTTTAAAAAAAGGTCTTTCACCAAGAAATAAAATTTTTTTCTAACAGGCAATACTTCCTGTTTAAGACCCATTTAGATGCTTGATTATGGGAGGAAAGTCATATTCCTAAGCAAGTAAATGTCCCTCTGAACCTCCAAAAGTATGAATAATTTCCTAAGTGGATTTTTATTGAAACCTCTCATTTAAAATGTGAAAACTTCAGGTACAAAAGTGGCTTTGTAAAATAAAATTGTAGAAAGTACGAGAACCAGGTTCAAGGCTTTCTGGCTAGATTTTCTCAAGAGGCATTCAAAGTATATCCTATAGGGCACTACATTACCAAATCTCCCTCCCCCCCAAAAAAACAGTTTAATAACTACAAGTAAGTGAAGGGAGTGTGTGAAACACCAAACATGCAAAAGTAAGGAGTGGCATGCATTTTTAAAAATCTATTTCTACCTGTTCTCAGCAGACAAAAAAAAAAAAAAATCTGATGGGTAGGAACCATTGCTCCTTGCTATCCACCCCCCTTTACTCTGATTAAGCCAATCTTGAGTCATTAAGAAAACCAGAAAAACTTAGTATAATATACTGGCTTTCTACTCTTAGTCGTAAAAATATTTATTATCTAAGATAGGCTAGTTAATTTTTAGAACAAATGCAAGGATAAATATGAAAATGTTTTCGAAATGTACAAAGCACTGTAGAAACGGAAAGTGCTGCCATTGCTAAAATTATCAGATCCATACAATATATCTTCTTTATTAATCTACAAATTATTATAATTTAATATATGTCTTAAGGAATAGGATTAATATACAGCCTTTGAATCATTCTTGGTTTAATACTACAAATAGCATTTGTAGTCAGAGAAATAATCATACAATCTTTTGTAGACAAAAAGATCCAGTGCTGAAATATGGAGTTTCTAAAGGAAAATAGGAATATACTAATTCTGCATTTATTCATTCCCATTCTTTTTGTGAATGTAGCATGTAACATTTCAAAGAATCTGATACCATGAAATGCAACACGACATCTAAAGGTACCTCTGGAGGATCAAGTAATCCATGTCTTAGACTCATCTAAGTGGGAAAGGAGGCACATTAAAAGAGCCAAACCCTGCATTTTAAGAAAAGAGAAAGTTAGGGGTTGCTGATGTGGCTGAGTGATAGAGCACATGTCAGGTAGAGACAGATAGAAAGATAGCAATATTAAATCCAAGCCTCTCCATCAATTTTCCAGCCGTAATCATCTTCTCATTTTGCCAGAGCATCTGCTTTTGACTGCAAAGTCTCTGTAAACTCAATGCTTTTAGTCAAGACTCTGTGGGTAGATGTTGCATACAATATACTTTTTACATGCGTTTTATACGCACTTTAAGAAAATCTTTGTGTAGGTGATTGCAAAATAAAGGAATAAATGGGAAGATACTATGGTTCTTCCCATACTGCTTTATATCTTTAACAAAATGTTCTTTGAGTCTTCTTATGCATCTTTTGCTTAATGTATTCTACAAGAAAAAGTTATCATCATCATGATGATAAACATTGTATATATATATATATATATATATATATATACACACACACAATATATATAGAGAGAGATATAGAGAGATATATAGATGGATAGATAGATATGGGATGGAAATAAAACATAAATAAAATACCTACTCTAGGAACTAACAAGTATGACTCAAGTTGCCCTTGCCTAAATTCTCACTCTGGGAATGATTTTTTTTTTTTTTTTTTTTTCCTGCCTGAAACAGGAATAGCTAGCTTAGGGGAGGCTGACGCTGGAATCCTTAATTAAAATCACAGTTCTGCAACTCACCAGCTGGATACTCTGGTCACATTATTTAATCCAAGAGACTCAGTTTCCTCATTAAAATGAGGGAAATGACACCCACCTTGCAGGGTTCTTGAGAGGATCAAAAAATGCAGATAAAGCACGGGTCAAGTAGCAATTTCTCAAGACCTGGTAAGAATGCCTATATTCTCCTCTGGGCAAAGAAAACACTATTTTGAAACATTTAAGAAGATTACAAAGTATCTCTGCTCAGAGCCAAGATTAATGCCTTACTTAACATTCTTTGTAATCTGAATTATCACACTAGAGAAAGCACCTAGTAAAATACTCATAGATGTTTTCTGAATGAAGCATATATATGTTATTCTGTGTGTCAGGATGCATAAATATATCTACAATGAGTATACATCAAAATCACGTGTTTGTTGCAGAATGACAATATAGACAAGAAATTCCTGAGGGCCCATTGACTGCAAAGTATTAAATATGTGTATGCTTTGTGTATCTGTCTATATTTGTATCATTTCAGACATTTAGAAGCATGCATCTCTTACACATATTTTGCCCCAGTGGGAAAACACGTTTCAGTGTACCTGTGTGTATGGAGTTGTGACAGTTTCCCTGAAAGGTGCGGTAAATGCCCGGGTATGACTGAGGCGCAGTCTCGGTGAGTGCGCAAACAGGCGAGCCTGCCCTGCGTGGGCACTAGTGCTCTGTGTCGGGTTTGCGGCCGCAGGGCTGTGAGGGGTGGAAATGGACTGGGTGACTGTCGCGTCCCTCACAGCGTGCAGCGGCATCTGCGTGGCCGCAGGGGCTCTCGGTCAGTGCGTGCGGGATTCCCGGCCGCACCCGCGCCCTGGCCGAGCCCTCTCCCGGGGTCCGGACCCTCACGTGCCCCACACCCGCGGCCTGGAGGCCCCACCGCGCTGGCGACCCCGCCGTACCCCTGATTGCTGCTTCCGAGCAGGGGGCTTTACCCTCGCGAAAATCTGGATCGTCTGCTTCACCATCTCTTCCCTGGCTCTGCACTGACCCTTGACCTATTTCAGGCCTTAGCTTCCAAAACTTGTTACTCCCACCACCTCCCGCTCCCCTCAGCCTTAGCAACAGTAACTAGGAACACTACCCAACGAGCACCGCGGCATCCAGGACCCCGCCTCCTCTCCCTAATTGGTCGAAGACCAGGAGGGACGGCCCTCAGGGAGAGGTTGAGGGGTGGAGTTGGGGCGGGGCCGAGAGGAGAGCAGTGCGCTTGCGCGTGGGCAGGGCTCTGGGGACAGTGGTTAGAAGTGATAAGTGCCTAGTATACCTTGCCTGGTTCCTTAACCCGTTCCTTCCTCGTGTCTTCGCCTCTTTTTATCACTGAGATCATTTTTGCATTTTATCGTGTCCTCATTGGAGAAATGATACTTGATCTGTGACACGCAGTATCCTGGCTGAGAATCTCGAATTGAGCAAAACTGCCCGGGGCCCACTTGGAGATCAGGGTCTGAAGAATCACAGAAAGTTACAATCCAGGGAAAATTTCTATGCTAAGATAGGGTTAAGCACGGTATTCTGTCTAGCTCTGTTTCGGAAGGGTAAGACTGGAGGAAGGGGATTGCCTCCCATTTAAGTCATGTCAAGAAAGAATGGGCTTCTCAAAAGACACTTTAGTATCCACAAAGATGCTCAACCTCGTTATCCTCCAAGGAAATATAAATTTAAACCACAGTGAGATATATCACTATGCATCTATCACAATGGCTGAAATGCTGACAAAGTTGCAGAGAAAATGAAATCACTCATACTTTACTAGCGGAAATGTTCGTATACTATAAAATGGTTTGACCCTTTTTTCAAAACTGAAAGTGCAATTACTCTGAGACCTGGCAGTTGCACTCTTGGGCATTTATCCCAGAGAAATGAAAACTTGTGTTTACACAAAAACTCTAATGTGAACATTTTCAGCACCTTAATTTATAAGAGTCCCAAACCGGAAATAACTCAGGTGTACTTCAGCTGATGAATAGTTAAGCAAACTGAGAAATACTGCTCATCAATAACAAAGACAGAACTATTGATATATTAAACAACTTGGATGAACTTCCAGGGAATTCGGTTGTGTAAAAGAAGCCAAAGTCAGAAGTTAAATACTGTATGATCCCACTTATATAACAGTCTTGAAATGACAAAATTACAGAGATGGAGAGAAGATTAGTGGTTGTCAGGGAGGTAGAGAGGGCACGAAGTGGCTATGGTTGTAAAGAAATCCTTGTGATGTACTGTTCTGTATCTGACTGGGATGGTGGTCACAGAAATCCACACATATAGTAGCATTGCATGGAACAAAATACACACACACACACACACACACACACACATGCATGGAAAGCCTTCAAGTCAAACAAGTTGGAATAAGATCAATGATTGTAGCAGTGTCAATTCCCGGATTGTTATATTATACCACAGCTATGTAAGATATTACTATTGTGGGAAACTGGGGGAAGGGTATGCAAGTTCTCTCTATTATTTTTCACAACTACATGCAAATCTACAATTATCTCAAACTAAATAGCTTTTTAAAGAAAATGAAAAGGCAAACCACAGACTGGGAGAAAACTTTTGCAAAGCATAAATGATAAGGGACTTGCACCCAGGATCTATATAAAACTTTTCAAACCAAACTCAATTGATAGAAAAATACACAATCCAATTTAAAAAAAGAGGAGGTCACAGCCAAAATATTTAAACAAACACTTTACCAGAAGGATATATGAAGGCTGGAGTTGCAGCTCAGTAATGGAGTACTTCTTACTTACCTAGCAGGCACAAGGCCCCTGATTCAATCCCTAGTATCACCACACACACACACACACACACACACACACACACACACACACACACACACATAGAGCCTGGCAAATAAGCACATGAAATTGATGCTCAATATCATTTATCATTACTGAGGTGCCAATTAAAACCACAATGAGACATTACAACATGCCCCTTATGAAGGCTAAAAATAAGAAAATGAAACTGTCAACATCAAGTGCTGGCACAGACAGAGCATCTAGAACTCTCAAACATCACTAATAAGAAAGCAAGATAAACCAGCCACTTTGAAGAACAGTTATACTTACCACAGGACGAAGCAATCCTCATGCCAACATGGGAATTTTGACTTGATGACAGTAGAGATGAAAACAAGCCAGGGGAGAGAACACACAGGCAAGAATTTTATTAGGACTTCTACTAAGAGAAGGGACCAGAGTGTGAGGCTGGCTCCCCAAAGGAAAGGGTTAATTTTGTTTTTGTGAAAGGGTTTTTTTCAAAGGAGCTAAGGTTTAGGAATGTTAATTGTCTTTGGATAAATTTTAAAAGGTGTGCGTGTGTGTGTGTGTGTGTGTGTTCTATGAGAGCACTTTAACTGAGGAAGGCAAGGTCAGTGGTCATTCTGGAGTCAAATATTAGTTTTTCACACCCACGCTGCGTTCTGTATAAGCATCTCCGTCTTGTGATAAGGTCAAGTTGCTGTAGCTGTTAAAAGAATGCACAGGTGGAAGATGGAAGAGAACATAAATCATGGCCAGTAACAAGTGAAGGGCCCTGGGAATTTGCCATTTTTATGACTCCTCAATGGTTTATGCTTTATGTTGTCTGTCCTTGGAGGGTCATGGCAAGAGCATCCTGGCCCTAATGAGGCACCTGGTCTCTGAAGCTATTCAGGTGTTTGAGGAATGGGTAAGGCACATACCAGGCTTATAATACCTAAGAGGCCATGAGTTAAGGTGGGAAAATAGACCCAAAGGCTTAATACCATCTCCTAATGATTGTCTGGCTATGAGTTAAGACCCAGTAGTGCATTCGCCCTTTGTCCCTATGCTGGTCTCTAACTGTCTAGTTTGTGTGCCTAAATATTTACCCAAGTGAAATGAAGACACACAGAAATCTAAACAGGAATATCTATTCCTAATTGCCAAACACTGTAAACAAAGTAAAATGTTGTTCAACTGAAAAAAATAGATAAGCAAACTGGTACAGCCATACAATAAAAGGGAATGAACTGCAGGTGCCCACAAGAACAAAGTTAAATCTCAGATTGATTATTCTGAGTGAGAAGTGCCTGACTCAAAGTTTATACACATTTAAAATTCCATTTATACAACATTCTGGAAAAAGGAAAAACTATAGGGATCGAAAATAGATCAGTGGCCTCCAAGGGCTGGGAGTAGGGAAAGGGGTTGACTGCAGTGAACATCAGAGAGGTGTGTATGTGGGAGATGATGGACCTGTCTCATATTGTGATTGTGATTGTGGTTGTGGTTACATGACTATATGCATTTGTCAAAACTCATATAACTACCTATATACTTAAAAGAGTTTACTGTAGGTTAATTATACCATAAAAAGAAAAAGAAGGGGAAGAATGGGGTATGAACAGGTGTAGCAGTACCTACAGATGGAAGAGGAAGCAGGTATTTATTAAGTGACTTTGAGAGCTTTTTACCTAGTGAGGAAGTGATCATTCAAGATTGGACAATCTGGCATATGGTGCAGGTATTTACCTGGACAGGTGAAACTGATTCAGTTGGGGGAGAGGGAGAAATGAGAAGCTGGGGGCATGATAAAGTTCAAGGGCCTATGGAACTTTAACAGGGAATTGGATAAAGTTTAGGAGAAAGCTGTGGCTGAGAGTATGAATTTGGGAATCCTCGCAAAGACCTGTTTCCAGAAACTAACCGAGTTATTCAAGAAGACTGAGTCTGAAATGCTAACACCAACAGTTGGAGGAGCAGAGGAGGCCACACAGGAAGCTGAAGAGAGTGGCTGGCAAGGTCTTTGAGAGAAAATGGAATGTTACATGGAAGTCAGGGGAAGAGAACATTCTGAGAGGAAGAAAGTGTTCAACAGTGTCAGACACTAAAAAGGATGTCCTAAAAATATCCGTTGGACTTAGCAGCCAGAAGGCATTAGTGATCTAGATGGTAGTTTCAGTGGCGTAGTGGGGTCAGAAGGCAGGTTGTAAGACACGGAGGAGCGAGTGGGAGGTTAGGAAGTGGAGGAGGCCAAGACAGGCGACCTCCTCCAGAAGCTTGCTTGCCAAAAGTTGTAAAGGAGAAAAACCCAGGGTCAAAGCTAGAGGAACCCGGAGTGAGGAAGGGTCTTTGGTTTGCCTCCAAGGAGGCAAATCCAATAGAAAAGGAGAGGATGAAGGTACAGAAAAAGAGAAGGTGGAAGACGGTTGCCCCAGAGCAGGTGGTATTTTAACAAGAGGGTACCATGAGAGTTCAGAGACAAAAGAGCCAAGGGTATGGGCCAAAGCTCACTGTACGCATTGAATTAGGTCATCCCGGTTGATTGAAAGATGCCAGTGGCCTTTGATGGGAAGGAGTGTTGAACAGGATTGGAGGAAAATCTATGGGTCCAGGAAGTAGGAACTTTAATATGAAGCTCTGGGTCATAGGATCAAACGCATTGATGAGGAGGAAGTATAAATTCAAATCCTGAGACTTGTCATTCCTGAGAGTGTAACCTTGGGAAGCAATTTATGTTTTCATGTCTCAGTTGGTTCATCCAGTATGTGGGGATGGTTAATAGCGACCTCATGGAGTTATCATAGAGATTAAATGGTGGCATGTTAGTAAAAATGTGTATGTGGGACGTGATGGTACACTGGTACATAGTACTCAGTGAGTAGAGGACATTTATACACATAGGATTCGGATCCCTGGATTGGATTCCTTGGGGCTGTAAACACCTCTTAAGAACATACACTATGGCACAAATATGTCTCTACGGCTCACTGGGATTGTAAACTCAAAACCTCCCACGGCCTAATCTGTGATGTAAATACCTTAAGCAGACAAGGAGAAGGAATAGGAATTGGGTAACAAAAAAGGAGTCTAGTGTCCCAACTAAAAAGCCATGGAAAGACAGTCAAATGAATGGGACAGAACTTTCCTAGGTTCATATATGAATCCAGGACCAGTGAAACTCTACATCATGTACAACCACAGCACGGAGTCCTAATTTGAATAAATTATACTCCATCTATGTATAATGTGTCAAAATATGCTCTACCGTCATGTATACCTAAAAAGAATAAATAAAATACCATTAAAATGAG